AGGAAATGTGATCTTATTTTCCTTGTTTTTTTTTTTTTTTTTTTTTTTTTTCCAGTGATACTGGGGGAATATTCAGCAGGCAAACCTTGCTTTAGAAGCTCCTTGAAAGTGTTATAGACTTGCGGAAACATGATAGAGTGCATTTTGGAATAATTTTTTGCAGTGATGCATTGGAAGTTTTTAAAAGTGAATTCCTGAAGGTATTCTGTAGTACCTTGTAGCTCAGCAGCATGATATTCAAATCTTATTGTAGAATTAAGAAAATTGATCACCAGCATTCCACATGCATGGTGGTGGTGCTGCTAAGAGTGTGGGGTTTGATCACTGTTTTGTTTTTTTCTTTAAATGATTGTGGCAAGCTAGCAGGCAATTGATTAAACATGAGTATATTCATGCACACAGTTTTAAAGTGTGCTGCTGTAAAAGTTCAGTGATGTCATAGAAAGACCATCCAGTCATTTTCCATGGATTAGTGTTTGTTATTGTCAACTTTGAGCATACAGGTGTAGTAGTGTATCTGTTCTGGCTGTCATGGACAAAACGTGTCGAAGTTTATCAAGTCTTGGTCATTGAATTCAGTGATATGATAAATTCATTATTTTCATAGAAAAATACCTTTCAGCCTGCACCACTTCTGTCTTCCATCTGCTGTGTACCAAAGGAAGTGTCTCAGCTCTTAGTTGAAGCTTAAAGTTTTTGTTGTTTAATGGAATGGTGTTCCCTGCATGAGCACCACGTTTCCTTGTGGCAGGAAGCCTGGCTGAGGATGTTCTGTGCAAACAGCTCTGCATCCTGTGGTCTCTCTGCGAGTGTCTGAGTTCATGCTGTGTTTGACCTATGGACTGGAATAACTGCACTGCAGAGGTACATGATCAAACAGTAGCTGCTGAACAATACTGAACTCAATTAAAAAGTTCTTCCACCTGCCATTCCGTAGGATTCTGAAATGCACAGTATTTCCTCTTTTGAGATGTTGTTCAGCATTTGTATGATTAGTTTGTAGGTGTAAGAGGGAAAGGAAGGGGGAAGGTTTTCAATCTAAGCATTTGCTGAAAGTGACTTAGAATTTCTAAGAACTCTTCATTTAAAAGGGGAAGGAACTGGTCTTTCTAACAGACATCTGAACTACCATCTCTGTAAAATCTTGCAGTTTTCTTAGTAACAGATTCAGGTACTAATGAGAAGGATTTCTTTGGATAATATTCTTAAGCAAATATTTAACCCCAAAATACCACTCCAGGGAGTGAAGGCTTATAAAAGCAATCAGACTAGCCTCAGTTGTTGGGTTTGGTCTGGAGATTTTTGGTTACATTTGAAGCAGTGGTGAAGAAAAAGGTTCAAACATCTTATACCAGGTAGAACTGTTGGTTATATTTGATTCTCTTGATATGCTTTTCGTAGCATGGGCTATATTCTTCACCAGGCTGTGTTTTTCGTTCAGTAGATTGTGAAAGCAAAGCTATGTTATTTATTTTGTTAGCCTCTAGTTATATTTTCTGCTTTCAAACGTTGATTTGAAATTGTAAAGTATGTTATTAGTTGGATTTTACTACTTCATCTTGTACGCTACATGGCCCTAATAAATATTCATGCTAACTTTTATTTTGACTTGTTTTTGGTTTTGTATTTTAAAAAGCTTTCAGGGGGAAAAAAAAGCTTTTTCTGTGAAGTGGAAGAAGTATTTTATACTTGAGAGCCTGGCATCTGAAAGTGCTGGGAGTTCCTAAGTATGTTTGAAATCATAAGGAATGTGGGTGTTCAGTATGCTTGTAAAATCAGGCTATCAATGAATGGAGTGTCCAGCTGTTCAGATGAATTAAATCACTGAACTGTTTATCTCTCTTCCCATTTCTATCCTGCCTCCTACCCTGATGCTGTTTCCTCAGCATTATGCAGATTGCTGTTTTGTGAGGTACTTGGATATGTATGTGTGCATTTTGGGAAAAACTTGTCATCTATTAATCGTGTATTCAGGAGTTAGAAGATGTACCTCAGAAGGTGTATGGGCATTATGGTGAAGCTTTGGGCAGCTGCCTTGCTGTTATTATCTTTTCTGACTTGATTGGACGATGAGTCCTGTGGAAATTACCATCTGTGGTTGTGTATTTGAAAAACTTTATGATGTTGCCAAGTGAGTAGAATAAAAGTGTATATATGCTTTTAAGGCGGTGAACAGTTGAAAGTCTGATATTGTACCAGAGGTAGTGCCTAACATTTCATGGCCTATGGCTTTTTATTTGTTTAAGATTACAGGAATGGAGTTAATAGGCTATAGATTTTTTGCATGTGTGAGCTTGTAGTTGGAGTATTACTGATATAAGTGGTAAAGGCAGGAGTTATCATAGAATATTAACTTAGAATGATCAGAGTGTTTGTCAAAAAATTTGTTTTGTTTGTTTGCTTTTACTTACTCTGCTTTCTGGAAAGGTTTCTTTAAGATGCTGTGCTCCAAGAGGGAAAGACGAGTTCAAATATGCTGATTTTCCATTGTGTCTAAAAAAATTATTAAGGATGTAAATTCTCGAAGTCACGTGGTTCCTATTTAACTTGGGAGGTTTGCTCTTCTGCCATACAATAATGATTTCAATCCTGACAGTTTCTTTCTCTAAAGCCTTGGAGAGAGCCCAAAAAATGGCTACCAGCAGCCAATTGTTTACAGGTGGAAATGCAGGGAAATATTTACAGATGAGTCTTTTTTTCAGTACTGGTGGGATGGAAATAAAGTGAGTGGAATAAGTCACAGGGAAAAAAAATCTGTCCTTTTCTCTTGCTCCGCTGCCTGGTTTTATCCTGCAGGAAGACATTTTTTACATACTTCTTTGGAAAATAAACTTGTCTGTGTTAATTCTGAGGATGTTTGCTGGGTTGAAGAGCACAAGCTGTGTGCCACAAGTTGATATATTAATAAGTAATAATAAAGTAATGAGACCGACCCCAAATGTCTGTGTGAGACAGAGATTGAACAGATAAATCTTATTAGCTTTTCAGTATTAGCTTTTCAGTAAGAAAAAACTGTCCTTATCACTTCTGTTTGCTCCCTGAGGGCATCTGTTACACTACAGTTGCTGTGCAGGACATGGAAACAGAGCTGTTATTCTGTGTAAGGAGAAATGCTGAAGTGTGAAGCTTGGGTATCCAGCATTTGATTGCTGGGGAAAAAAAAAAAAAAAAAAAAAGTAACACTACTGATAATGATAAATTACTAACCAGGCTTACATAAATGTATCCTTAACTTCTCAAAGCTGTATTGGCAAATGAGATATTTGGGCAAGTTGTGAGGGGCTGGCTATACTTCAGAAATAGAGGCAGCAGCAGTGGCAAGAGCTGTTACTGTTTGCTGTGTCCTTCACGTGAGGACGTGGAGGCACCGTCCTTTCCGTGGTGCTTACTTCAGTTACCTACTCTGTACCAAGGACTGTCTCTGAGATTACCTGTCCCTCTCTGAAAGATCTTTAATGGATTTTCCTACTGGAAATGCTCATCAGTTACGCTTTCCATTTTAAACCCAAACCAATGATTATTTTGACCTTCACATGATGATACATTTTGGTATTGTGTCAACTGATGTAAGGTGCATCTCTTGCAAACGCAACCATAAGGCAGAAGGCAGAATGTTTACTATGTGAAGTACTGGAGCAAAGCTTGGCCAAAAGAGGCAGAAAACTGCTGTGGAAATGTCAAGTTATGATTAATATCCTGTGAGAACAGCTCTGTAGAATTGTTCTGAATAATTTCTCTTTTGTCATTTCACCTAAAAGCTAGCATCCATATAATATGATGTGTGTGCCCACTGTCTGTACCCAACTACTAAATGGTGGTTCTAGGGCAGGAGAAAACTCTAGAATCCCACCGTCAGGTTTTTGAACTTTTAGTCTGTAGTGCTTCTGGAACATAGCTAGTTGGAAAGAAGGAGAGAAATATAAAGCATGATAATGAGTGGGAATGTGAAGATAAATGAATAAAAGTCCTTTTTCTCCTATATCAGTGCAGAAGCAGCTTATTTAGGTGTTCTGTGCCTTTCTGTTGTTTGTACAGCACCCACTGGTATTAGATGATGGAGCTGTCTTGATTGGTTATGTCCAGAAGGATTTAGAAGACAGCTTGAGATTTTTATCTCTTTCTGTACAGTTAGCATAAAGTGTCGTAGTATAATATACTTCAGGTTAACCTTTACAATTGAAAAATTTGGATGCTGGCAAAGATGACCTGAGGTCTTGAGTCTTGAACTATTTCTGCAGTGGAAATCTACGTCTTCTGCCATGTCCTATGAAGTCACCTTTAGCAATAGTGAATGCTTGCTTTTGCTTCAGTGCACTTCCCACACAGTGATCCACTGAGCCACTTTGCACTTTACTCCTCCAGCCCTGTGTCTGACTGCTGCTTGCAAGGCACTGCTGAAAGCCACGCTGCTGAATCTCTACCACTGCTTGTTATGTGAGAAAGGCAGGCAGGCCAGGCAGTCTGTTCAGCTCTGGCAACTTCTGCTGCATGCCCTTCTGTCAGGGGAGGTGTACAGCTGAGGCACAGAATTTGCTGAGGGCAAAGAGCTTGAAAACAGCCAAATAATGATTACAGGAAAAAATAAAAAAATCTCACGTTCTCCATTCATTTGATGAGCAGGTTCTTTTGGAGGAATCTGTCACTTTAATTGGTTTCTTGCACAGTGTAGAAAAAAGGATGCTGATATACTTAAAAATGCAGGTTTCTCATCCAGCCTATTTTGAGGTGGACACCATGGGACGTTGCACTGAGCATTTCATGGCAAGGCTTACGTGATTGGTGAGCTTTGTGTGCTCTCCATAGGAAAGCATTGTGGCATTGTGTATAGTGAAAAACAAGACAAGGCATCAGTCTAAGTTCACCACTCCCCTTATGATTTAAGCAGTTTGTGTCTTTTGGTAGGTTTCTGGACAAGTGTACTTTTGAACAGCTTAGCTATGTCTTACGCTGCTAATGAGTACATTTACTCATACATTCTGTATGCTTGTTTTTGAGGTAGTCATGCTGCATCCTCTTCACAGTCAGTGAGGAAAGATAGATGCTACCAGACAGGGACTCCTCTGACCTTTAAAAATCTTCTTGCAAGGTGAGTCATGCCCTAGAAACGCCTGTTTCTCTCATTTGCTTCTAGAACAAGACTAGGTCACTAGGTCAGAGTAAATAACAGATTAATCTCAAGATTTTTCATGCCTCTACAGAGGTGACTTGTGTAATGTGTGTTTATGTTTAGTATCTTTGCTGTGCATGAAAACAAATTAAAAACTCATTAAAAAACCTGAATCCGATCACTTTTCTAATCACACTGTAATGCTCTTTATTTGCTGCTTGTGGTAATAACTATACCATACTGATGTTGCAGAAAGGGTTGGTGAGTGCTTAGCATCTAAAGGCTGAAATAATGGAGTACTGGACCTCTGACCTCCTGCACGTGCCCCCGTGCGCACATACCACGTGCACATACCACGTGCACATTTCCTCAATCTTGTACACCTTAGTTCCCTTTACCATTGCCCCATAAGCCAGAGAGGGATTTCCTGTGTGGGTGGATGGTCTTCCAAACACTGGTTCCCTCTTCTCTGGCTCTGCAGTTTGGCTGTGGTTTCTCAGCAGTCTCACTGCAGCCCTATTGCAAAGCTCAGAGATCCTTTAATTTTCTTCATGGGGAAAGCAAGGTCGTTGATATAATTTTATCACATGGACTAAACCTCAGGTTGATAGTCATGAGTTTATCTGGAAAATAAACATTTTATGAAGTCAAAACTTTTAAGAATGCTCTTTCTAGTATTCTTAATTCATCCAATTAGTGAAAACATTTGAACATTTTAAGACTTAAGAAGCTTTTATTGAAATTTTTGAAGAAAAATCAAGTTCTGCAGAGTGTAGCTGCTGGCATTTGTTGTTGAGGAGGTTTTTCTCTTATGGGAAAATCTTGGCCAAATATATTGATATTTCAGTAAATTACTTTTTGCAGCTAAAAGAAACAGATGCAGACTATTGTTTTACTGTGTATCTTCTGCCTCGTGTTGGCTGAAACCTCCCAGAGATCTGGCAGGGTTGCACGTGATAGCTGCTGCCCAGAGCAGCCTCAAGTCCCAGTGGAAAGGAAAGAAGGTGGTTAAGGGGCAGGAAGGGGGAAGATGGGCTACAACTAGATCATGGAGCAGCAGCTGCTGGCTGATAGTGGGGAAGTCAGTGCTTTCAGGAATCCTGGGTTCGCTCCTGTACAGGCATCGTGTGGTGACAAATGCAATCATGTCATGTCGTATGTATAATTTAACTTTTCCTAAACTCATTGTATTTGATAAATGTAGGGATGTACTTGCTGGTGTTGTTCTTGCTGTCCATTTTCAAGAGATTTTTCATATCAAGAGATTTTCTTGCTGCCAAAGTTCATGCTTGTTTTATTGTGGGGAAGGAGTGTTAGAGTTTCTGATGAGTAAGCAGTTGGTACATTTTCTTCTACTTACCTTAGTTAAATGCTGTAAATGTGAGTCTTGGTTAAATTTATAAGTTGTCTAGCTATGAAAAAAAACACATGCAAGGTGGGACATGCTAGAACTTCTGCTTTAAAACAGTCTAAATCTGTTTTGTTCTAGACCTCAGTTCACTGTTTACTTTCTGTAATGGAAAGTAAAAGATGAAAAGAATAACATAGAAGTAAGGTAAAGTTCAGTACTGTATGACTACTGCTTTTATAAACACTGTGAGTAAGCGATAACATTGAGATGAGTCAAGCCCTAGGTCATATTTTTACCGGCAATTTAGTATTGCACAAATGCTTTCGCTTAACAATAAAAATATATTTTGACTTCCTTCATTTCTTTGTTCAGGTCTTTTTTGTCTTGTTTGTTTAATTTTGCAAGCTAACATACTGAGTTTTATTTACATTCCTACCCTGGGAGGTCTTGTGTTTTCTGGTTAAATGCTCAGCCAGGACAGTGATCTGTATTTACTCAGAGATGAAGAAAAGAAAAGAAAAAGACTGCTACCTTGTTGTGTCGTTTTATTTCCCTTCCTTGAATTCTACTCGTACACATATTAGCTAAAGAAATGTAATATAGAGACGATTATTAGACACTTGTTGAATTTAAGGCTTCATCTAAAGCAGACGTGTCCAACCCCATGGGCTGCATATGGCTCGGTACAACTCACACTGTGGCCATATCCTGCCCTGCGCCAGCATAGCAGCAGCCTGGCCCCTCAGCACCATCAAACACTGATGCACTACAAACCCCCTTGGAGCTGAAGCAGGACATGGAAAGGGTACAGCATGGTGCTGGCTCAAGTGATGGCAAATCACTTTATGCAATTGGATATGTTGGCAAACACAGTCCTGTGAACAGCAAAAAATATGCAGCTGTCCTTTCTGTTTTGATACAGGAATTGGAGAACAGGTTTCAAGATAGATAGATGAATAAATCATCAATTTTTTGGTTTATTTGCAACTTCAGTTCCAGTTGATGTAAATACTATACTTGCAAATTTTCAAAGGAAATTTATATAATTGCAATCAAAAGTCTGATCGTGTCTCTTTGCTGAACTTTTATCAGCCCTCTCTTACAGAGAGAAATACCCCTCGCTTCACAGTCATGGCTCATTCATCTCCTCACTTTTTGGCAGTGAGCACAACTTGTAAGCAAATACTGTCGTGGCTGAAGCACAAAAAGAATAAAATGTCATCATAAATCTATGTCAAATGCCTTGAGAGCTCATTGAGAATTGCAGCCACTGGCATGGAACTAGACTGATCCGTTAATTTCACAAACGCGGGGTCACAGATAGTTTGTTGTATGTTTTAATTAAAAAAAAAAAAAAAAGTTATTTACATACATTAGGTGCATTATATATTTAGCAAGGGCTGCTCCAAAAGTCATGCTTCCTGTTTTATGATGTTGGCCCATGATGTCCGAAGCGGATGTTAGCTGTATAGCAGTAGAGGTTGAACCTTCCTCCCAGTATCCTGTTACATTTTGTTGCCGTGTGACAGATGGCAGAAGAAGAGCACTCTGGCACAATGGTGTCTGACATAGAAGTGCAGATGAAGAAAAGGGCTGCAATTGAATTCCTCCATTAAAAAATATATATATATATAGCACCCACTGACATTCATTAATGCTTACTGATTGTTGATGGTGACCAACCAGTGGATGTGAGCACAGTGAGAAGGTGGGTGGTACATTTCAGCAGTGGTGACAGTGATGTGAAAGACAGGCTGTGTTTCAGATGGCCACGCACAGCTGTCATGCCAGAAAATGAAAAACATCTCAATCAACTCACTTGTGTGAATTAATGATTTTGATCAGAGAATTGTGAATGGAGCTGAATATTGGTTTCAATGTGTTGGAATCAGTGTTGACAACATTGAATACTGCAGAGTTTAGGCCGAGTAGGTCCCACAAATGCTCATACAGGAACAGAACTAACACTGTAGGCGGGTTTGTCAAGAAATGTTGAACCAGTATGAGGCTGAAGGTGATAGCTTCCTGGATCATAGTTACTGATGATATGTGGTGTCGCTAAATGAGCTGTAGTTAAAAGGTTGTCTGTGGAATGGTGGTGTATAGATTTCCCATCAAATAAAAGGTTGAGGGCTCAACCCTTGGCAGGTAAAGTGACGTGCATCATCTTTTAGTGTAGGAAAGATGTGATACTTCTGGATTTCCTAGAAACCAGACTGCCACGTTCTGATGCTGACTGAGCTGAAAGCTTGAACGTCCAGAGTCAGGCCGGAGAAGATAACTTTTCTCCTGCAACTTGATAACACCAGGCAGCAGACCAGTTTGAAAACTGTGGAGAACATTGCCAATCTTGGCTAGACAGTCCAACCACCTCTACCATGTAGTCCAGGTTTGGCACCTCCTGACTTCCAATTGTTCAGGTCAAAGGAAGATGGACGGGGCAACATTTTGTAGGAACAACATTGTCAGTGTAGCTTTGGAACAGTGGGTCACCTGTGCTGGTGCAGATTTTTCCAAGTGCAGTATTCGGGTTCTTGTGCTTCTTTTGCTCATCACTGTCAAAAAAGCATAGCTAATGGCGGTGACTGTGTTGAAAAATAGTGTTTTGTTGCTGAGAATTTGCTCTGTCAAGTAGCGTTATTGTACTCTTTGTTGTAGCTTCCATGGAAAGAAATAGTAGACATCACTTTCAGAGCAACTTACCTGTGTATTTACTGTGTTTTAAGTGCTTTCTCATGTTACTCAGTTATTTATTTATTTTCTAGGGCTGAAAAATAAATACAGATACCTATAGTAGGAACTTGGCTTGAATGAATGACTAGCAGCGCTGAGCCTTAAGTCTTAGCTCTCTCCTTGTACACGTTAGGTTCTGATTTCATTATATAATAAGGTGAAATTCTTCACATGCTTAATGGACATCAACATTATCGCTTTAGTGTTTAAATGGGTTTGGTTTTGAAATTCAGTTACAACATCACTGTAACCTAGATATAGCTTTGAGGCATTGACTGTGGTTGTAATAAAAAATGCAGTCTTTTACTTACAGAATAACTTTGCCAAGTTACGAGAAAGCTGGAATTGTTCCTGACCTAAAAACTGAGCTACTTCTGAATGCATTGTTTTTGTTTGATAGATGAAAGTAAACACATTTGGGCTACGTGGGTTTCGAAAGCTGATGTAGAGGGTTGGATGTTTTGGGTTTTTTCAGCTTATGTTCATTGTGGTGCACTGATACAAATTTGTATGATGGTATTCTGTGCTTTCAGTATCTTGCCAAACAATGCTGCAGTCACTCGTATGTGTCTCTTTTTTGTAATGCTGCAATATATGACTTCCCAGATAATACATCTTCCACTTTTCGTAAGTAAAGATCGTTCAGGTTTGCTTCTGGCAAAAGAAAAAAAAAAAAAAAATCAATTTGCTACTTGCATTATGATATTGAGTGAAGTTCTCAGTCAGACTATGTGCTGTTAACCAAGATCACACTTGGTTTTCTCTCTGCTTAATTTCAGCTTCTGCCAAAGATAGAAAAGGTGCTCTTTTTTACCTTGTATATTTATTCGTTTTGTGCAACAAATATTTCGCAGTGCTTCAATATGTGCTGGCACTTAGCATACCTGGGTGTGTG